TTCGATCCTCAGATAACTCAAATCTATCAGTCATAGCCTCGTATCAGAGTGAAACAAGTGTTCAACACCTTTCGACTTTACACTGTTCTTTACCTGATGTCAGCTTATGTAACGAACTTTTTTACTCACGAATTAGTGACGCTTAACCAGTAGTTAATGACTGTGCAATAGATAAATTCTTCCACAAATCCACTGTTACAAAATTCTTCAGATTTATTTAACCTGACTAAGGAGAAACAAATTTATACTCAATGCTTTACATCATGCCTTGTTCAGTTTTAGTTTGCCAGTTTGTTCTATATTTAGATGCTTATTTACAGTACATTTACATCTAACTAATAATATGCTTCCATTGCGTTTAGTTCTATGTTAGTCGGATTTACAAGTATGCATTTACAGTAAACAAAAACAAATAACCTCATTTAACCTGAAATGAATTAAAATCAGTGTTTCAGTTCTTGCCATACTAATTGGTCTATATGGTTTGTGCATTTGACTAACACATGTTCATTGTATTTCTTGTTGTAAACCACATTTTAACACAATAACAAAATTGTTTGAAATTCTTACACCTTTGCTCTTTTTTACTCTTACGTCAAAACTCTTTAATATTTGTGAGAATATGAAATTTCATGATTATCATAAAGAACATGGATTAATCAATTTGTATTAGTATACGTGCATTCTGTCATGATTGTTTTGATATTGGCTTTCAGATTTTGGAGTTCGAGTTTTATTATGAACATATTCGCTAGGATTCAGATACATCTAAGTTATGAGTTTTAAATTGGGCGAAACGTGTATGCTAAACACAAATACCAGCTATTATCCAAATGGACTTAAAATTAACATTCTCTACTTGTCTCCTTCTATGATTTCTCCGTTTTTAAAAATTCTTAAAATCATAACTTTGAAGCAATTCATTGAATCGTTTATTTAATAATTGTTATAAAATTGTAATCATTTGCTAAATCACTTATCGACTAATATGAATCAACCCACTCTTTTGTCGTCATTCATATTTTTTATCGTATCAACAAATCGTGATCGGTTTATTTTATGAAATGGTAACCAAAAACTAAATGCCAATACAGTAATGTCACATATGAAAAGTACCTTGTTCATTTTTACTGATCTTTCTGGATTGTGCTAATTTTTTATCAGAACAATAATAATATGCTGGTGTGTTGTTTATAATGCCCAAAAGACAAGTAATATTCTCATCCAGAAGTAAACTTTTTTCCAATAGCTTAAAACATTATTACAAATATAATTTGTCAGTTTAGATAAATAACACATAGAACTATTACGTAATAAATATCAAAATTGCAGACAACTATTACTTATGGATTAACAGCGTATAATGTGCTATTGTAAATTATAATTCCCAATCGATATTTTACATTTCAGTTGTTTAGACATATACTAACATACTTAGCAACCGAATAACGATTAAGAGTATTTCATTGACATATTACACAAAAATTATATAGAAAGTATTTGAAGAATTATTTACAGCTTTGTTAACATCATAAAAACTAATTGGTCGATAATTGGATAAATAATTTTTCTGACGAAACCAATATCAGTTAGTATTAAAGACGTAATCATGAACTTAGAAATATTTGTATTACGTACACACATGCATCTCAGAGTTGTAGTTCAATCCGGGCCTCGAACCCAATGCCGTTTGCTTCAAACGCCAACACGTTATCCACTTTGCTACTGAGCTCTGATAGCTTCAAGTAGCACGAAACGCTCGTCCTAGATTCCACTGCTAGCTGTCATCCATCTTTGCTTATAATGCCTATGACTGAAGCTAATATCGAGGCAATCCGTACAGGATGCACATATGCCAGTATGAGACTGATCAATTGCAGTCCTAAACGTCAATGAGAAGTTTCAAACAAACAATACAAAATGAATTTGAGTAAATTATTTAGCTGATTACTGTTACGGATTTACAAACTTTAACCAACCCCAATTGCAACGTTTTCTGTTTGCTAATACCTTTTGAGTTGATATTAGCCTGTCACAAAAACTAACTTCCATTGAAATAGATCTTCATGCGTTATCTATTTTATTATGTTATATTAATTATTATTCTGTACTAAACACTGTTACCTTCTGCATTTCTGAATATGAATTTTTACTGAATTCATTTTAATAAATTTTGTTGACGTTTGGATTTTTCAAAAAATTACAGACTTTCATAACAGCTTTAATTATATCATCAAGATATGATATCATTCTAATCACGGAACAGATGTTATACTACTAGTGATTTCACTGCCTATTTGTATGTATATTGGATATAATAGATATCTGTGAACTTATCTTAAGTTGAACAGCTGTCGTAATCTTATTCTATAGATAAGTGAACGTTATTTTTACATTAAAACCATCAAATTTAATTTTCAATGGTTTCAGTGCCTTGAGACTATCTTAAAGATGTTTCGCTGAATGAAATATATTTGCTAAAGTGATTATTTTTTCTCTAAATTTTATTAAATGTAATAAATAGTTTAATAAACTCTACTTATCCATTATAAATAACCAAGTAAACAGACGATCATTTGTAATGCAAGATGGATGTTCAATAGAAGAGGAGTCCAGGACTTGTTTGTGACTAATCAGTTGGTTGTATCTGAATCCCAAAGTGATGTCCAATCCGGAACTCGAAACTGTTACTGCTCTCTCCAAATAACATCGCGTTATTCTCCTGGCCAATAAGTCGGGATAGAGGGTGAACATCAACTCTGAAAGAAACGCCCGTCTCTGATTCTATTTCTAGCCACCATCCATCTCTGCTTAAAATGTTTGTGACTTACTAGCAATATTGAGGCAATCCACACCAGATGTACTCATACCAAGAAGAAACTGATCAATTGCAGGCTTAAACGTCAGTGGTAAGATTCAAACAACCAATACAGACGATCATTTGTTTCTCGTAGCAAAATGATCATTTAATTTAACTAAATTTTACCGATTACCAGACAATATCTAAGGCAACTGTGAATAGATTACTAGTTTTAAAGTATAATTTTCAAATGATATTCATTTTTACAGACATTATTGTTTTGTTATATCAAACGCTTATTCATTTCGATAATGATATTAAAAGACGAAGATTATCAGAACTATGTGATATATTAGCGCAATACATTTCGAACAATCTGGTCACACATATACTTGTTAAGAGCATTTATATATAAAAATAAAAGGTCAACTAGACAGGAAACGGGGTAAGATTGTTCGAAATGTATTGCGCTAATATATCACATAGTTCTGATAATCTTCGTCTTCTAATATCATTATCGAAATTTATCAAAGGGACTAATTGTTTTAAACTTATTCATTTATCAGAATGGGTTTCGCGGAGATTTCTAGAAATTTCACTTGTTGAAATCATGAGTCAACTGAAGCTAGACCACCATGGAAAACCTGGAAGCACTGGACGGCCGTTTCGTCCCGGTATAGGACCCCTCACCAGTGCGCATTCACGACCCCGCACCCCGCGGGATTCGAACCCAACCTCATGGATTGGTTGCAGTCAGATATTAACACCGTTGGATGTCGGCTCAGTGGTCTAGTTGGTTAAGCGCCTGGCGCGAGACTGATAGGTCCTGGGTTCGAATCTTGCGGGGTGCGGGATCGTGGATGTGCACTGCTGAGGAGTCCCATACTAGGACGAAGCGGCGTTGGAGTGCTTCCAGGTTTTCCATGGTGGTCTGTTTTCAATTGACTCATGATTTCGACAAGTGAAACTTATTTGTTTGAGAAAAAATAATAAAATTTTATTTCCAAATAAAATGTGTTTTAGATTTCTAAGTAACTTCTTGATCATCATCTTGAAAAGGTTAATTACTAATTAGGATTTAATTAAGAACAAGTATATCATCAAAAGTTTATTTCAATTTTATTCGTGTTGTATAACACTTGTTAATAAAATTGAATTAATCGTTGGTTAAAACTGTTTTTACATTAGAATTATGTAATAAATTTCAATTTGTTTTTTTGAAAAATAATCACTGACACTGCGATGTATTAAGAAGACAATCGGGGTTTCTTTCTTCATTTCACAAAACAATTTAACAATTTGATTGAACTAAATTAAATAATTATGAGTCAAAATGTAGAGGGAACTGTTTAAGAGTACATAAATGATTGTGTTCTTTGGACAGTTTTTAATTAGGATAAATACAATGGAAAGAAGCTTTAAATCTGTCGATAACTAAGAGCTATTTTAATCCTATTTTTAATGGAAAGCAACTGTTGTAAATTTATAATGTAACATGACATTCAATTAATTCACTATAAGCAATTACATTTTAAACGCTTTAGGCTAGATTTTATAATAAATAATGTATCTTGTTCAATATTATGAATGAAAATATAATGGTATGGGAATCTAATATATAGTTTATATTCGCTCTAATCTACTTTACAGACAAATCTGAAGATTTATTGTTCATTCATTTATCATGATTCTAAAAGCTATCTTAATGCTTTCCTACTAAGAAGAGTATATAATTGTTTTATTATTAACATCCTACTCGATCATTATAAGCAGAGATAGATGTTGACTAGCAAGGGAATTCAGGACACAGGTTTCATCCTACATGTGACACGTCAACTCGATCTACCCAGTGCTTAATTTGTTCGAAATTATCAAGTCTAACCTTGTAAATGATACCGATAATGTTACTAAACATTCAACGGTATAATTCAGATTTCTACAATATGTTATAATTTTAAATAAGTGTTTTTTGAAAATATATGTTAGCTGAACATATGAACGTAATGTTTGTTCAAAAGGTGGAATATTTAATGTTATATACAATTATCGTATCCACTTTATCATTTTATTTCAATAATCCTTGGTATCAATTAAACTAAACATTTTACAGCATATTATTTTCTTAAGTTCATTAATGAATATTTTTTTTCCAAACTATTTCCTTTTCCACTGTTATTTTCTTATTTTTCTATTTCAACAGGTATCTCATCAATTGTACATCATTTCGATATTTCCATACCTGATTCATATAAATCTCTATTATTAAAATTATACAAAGCTTATGAATATACACGACGTTTAGATGTCATTTTTATACGTTTTCTCATTATGTTAAAAAATATATGTTTTAATGAATATAACAAATGTATGAAAAATTGGAATGTTATATTACAACAAACTGATGATAATCATTCTATCCAGAAACAAACAAACATAATTGATAATAATATAAATCAAATTACATATTACTATCAACAATCTATATATATTGAATTATTATTTATTCATTATGAAAATCTTATAAAATGTTTTAAAAATTTAACTGATATTGTTTTTAATAATATCATCTATTGTATTTTATATTGGTTCGGTTATACAAATAATTATGTAAATGATGAAATACTGAAAGAATTCAAACAATTATTTAATCCAATGAATTCATATTTTCTGTCAAATTTAACATCGACTCCATCATCAAGATTATCAGTAGGAACAACAACCACAATATCAAATAGTAATTTTGATGATCTAATTGAAATTAAAACAAACTTATTGAATGTAGACAGAAATGTTCTAATACGGTTAGCACGTGTAATAGGAACATTAAGTCAAGTGAATAATTTATTGATATCATTAGATAAGAATATTAAGGTAAGTTTGATTTTGTGAAGTATACATTTTTATTGGTTGTTTAAACATTTTATGAGTAGAGATTGAAAACTATGGGCTATAATATGACACTTGGTATATTTTATACAGGAAGACACAATCACTGGAATCTGTACATAATGTGGACAAATCATACGTAGAGTATTAGCTGATAGTATTGTTTAGAATAATGATAAAAATCTTCATAATTAAGCCATTGAGCACAGTGAACATAACACATTTAAAAGCATTCACTTAAGCTACAAATCTTTCATTTCTCTTATTTTTCACTTATAAAGGATGACTAACTACTGAAGCCTATAAGGAAACGATGTCATTTTCTCAGAAATGTTTTTTAAATTCCTAAAAAATGTAAAGAGTTATTCTTCGCTTTCAGTTATTTTCATTCAATCTCAAAGCATATTTTTAATATTTTATTTATGAACTATGTTCATATCATTCTCTGTTGCTGTCCGATTAAAACTTCCCATCGGATTAAATTGCGCTAAAAAAGAATATAGAAACTGGTTATTATTCTTGATAGAAGGAAAATATTTTTTTCTAGTATATAAGTGAAAACAAAGTCTTCACGGTACCATTTAAGTGTAAAATGTACACAACATTAGTTGGACTTCACGGTTTTCAGTTCCTATTTCAACATGTGAAAAAACATGGATTTTATTCTATAGGATTACCGATATTCATATCCCACAACTCATAGATGGTTATTTTAAATTTGAAACATAAAACAGGCTAAATTACTGTCTGATGATAACATTGGTCATCTTATTAATTAAACGGATGCTACTATGAGTGGGGATTCCGTTCATTTTATTACTATTTATTTGACTGCAATATCATTGATGATGTGAAGAACATATGAAGGTTTGTAGTTGGAACTCTGTACAGATCCACTCATTTTAAAGTATCATTTTATTTGAAGTTATCATGATTAGTTTTTCTTGATGTAACTTAAACTAATTACTCCATAAATTGAAAAAGGATAATTTTTTTGAAAGACACCTGTAGGAGTAAATAATTCATCACTGAAACTTACGACCAAGTATCATGATAAACTGATTGTTATTCTTAAAAGCGAAATTTCTGAAGATTTAAAGTAATCATTTATTATGTTTCATAGTTAACCAGACTATCGAGATGATCAGTTTGCTTGAGTAGTACCTTTAGTAAAAATAAAAGATCTCTGAATAAAAGTAATGTCACGTTTGTAAATTTATGTTGGAATACATTTTTGTGACCAACATTAATTCTTAAAGTCAGCATCCCTAATTCTATGTTATATAATATAATGAGGTTTATTCATATTTTATTGTAATTGGAGATAATTTTATTATTTGTGTGACTTTTTTATATACAAAAATCATTATGTTGTGTCAGAAAATTTCTGATGTCACTAAACTAGTTTAAAACAAATTCGATTGGTGAAATCCAGGACACGCGCTTTGTTCTAATTAGGACTGCTCAAATGGACGTATTTGCATCCAAAAGTTGATATATACACTGAAATTTGAATCGGATATCTATCTCCTCAAAATGCGATACTTGTGCATAGTAAACTTACGAACTCTTATAAATCATATTCATGTCAGTTGCACAAGCCAGTGACTATCTAAACTCAGTAGCTCGATGGATAGGGCGTCGATGTTTAAATAGCAGGACACTCCGCTAGAATCTCAAGGTGAATAACAATAGAATGAGAACAGCATCCCGGACACAGCTCAAATAAATAAACGTGAATAGACGGCAGCGTTGAAGTAAATCTTTTAAATACTTAGAAAAACTAATATGTTGCACTCCTTGATATCATGAGGAGAATAAAATCTCTCACGCATGAAAACATTGATGTACTTTTTGTCGCAATCATAACACGAAAATAAATGAAGATAGTAATTTTATGATGCATTTTCTGAAGGTACGTTCAAATATCAGTTGGTTTTTGTCACGAACTGATATCAGTTGCAGAAACTTTAAAGAAACAAGCAGATGTTATTTTTTTTTAACTTATTGTACAAATAATCTTCAGATGATAGTGCTGAAATTCCCAAATCAACAACACTATGAATATCAGTTTATTTAATTTACTGTCTCACTGTTTTCATTGTAAGGTCATGCATTCTCCATTTTTCCTGAAGAGTTTTGAACTGGAATATAACATTTATCAACTTTTTCCTTCTTTCAGTATTCTTTCACTTATTATCGATGCGTAATGGTAATAAACGATTTTTTGAAACATTTTATTGATATATCAGGATATCTGTCTTGCTACAAACAAACTATTCTGATAGAACCATAAAAGTGTCGATATATATATATATATATATATATATATATAATTTTTATATATTTTGTTCTATCATCTTATTAATTAGAAATAACTGCAAACTAACAAAACTGTTTGATTGAATTATTACTCAAAGCAATCATGATTTCAGTATGTAACTATTGAAATTCTATTATACGAGACTTTATACGCTTTTTGTTAACATATAAGTTAAAACAAAAGCGATGCTCAATGTTTATTTTAGCATTTAAGTAAAATAAAAATCATGGTAACTGATTTATTTATCGGTAGAAAAAATGACTGATTTTTTTTGTTACAAATTTTATTGATGGGAATATAGAAAACAGTTCTGTGAATCAAATGCAAATTAGTTTCTTAATTCTTACTTATTTACTTACTTACGCCTGTTACTCCTCATGAAGGAACATAGGCAGCTCACCAGCATTCGCCAGTTTGCTGTAAACTAGTATCATTTGTAGAACAGTCGACAATCTTTTTATCTTACTAAGTACTCAAATCTACACTGAATCAATCACAACACTTTGATGTGTTTGGGAAAGGAAATTACCTATTAAATATTTGGCTGAGATTTGATGGTCAACAATGCATGATTTAGCATGATACAACACTTTATATCGTTGATAAGTGACAGTTTTACTCACAGTATAATAGTCCATTCCCCACATCTTCATTTCTACGACGTTCATGTCATCCTGTAACTATTCTTCAGCTAGTGTCATCGAATAAGTGTAATTATTAAGTTTTATATCTGCTAAATTATCATAAATTAATAACTGCTAAATAGAAAAATATTTTTCATATGCTCCTATTTATAAGTTCAATGACTTCTTTATTTCCAACAGTTGAGATTATGAGTCAATTGATACTAGACCACCATATAAAACCTGGAAGAACTGGAGGGCCGTTTCGTCCTATTGTGGGACTCTTCAGCGTTGAACATCCATGACCCCGCCTCGAGGGATTCGAACCCAGGACCTATCAGCCTCTTTATTCATGATTATTCTAATCATTTGCACTAAAACACCTATTGATTTAATATTCTTGATATATGTCTCAAAATATATTAAATAAACGTTGAATACTCAATGATAATGAATTTCTTCATTAAAATCGTTAGATAAATTATTTGTTTGGAAAAAAACTTAGAATTTTTCTAAACATTGCAAATTTCCTAAATTTTTTTTCTTACAGGAATGGAAAGAAACTTTAAGAAAAACATTTCCACAGATAATGAATAAACTTATCGACAAATACATTCTTCATTATCATAACGAAATACTATGTAATTTCCAAATTGAAAATAATGATTTAATTAATCTACTGACCATATTTCTTAAACCAATTAATAAAACAATTGGAACTTGTTTTAATTCACCTACAGAGAGAATAATTTCAACTGAAAATTCATCAACAATATGTGAATATCATCATAATGCGTTTTATTATATAATTCAACCAACAGTTATTCAATTTTTTCATAGATTATCAGTATTATTAAAAGAGACATCTATAAAGTAAGTAAAATATATTATTTAAAATTGTATAATGTTTTAAACGAAAGAAATAAAGTTCAGTATAGGGTTGTGAAGATTGTTGAGTTTTATTTCAGATAATAAACCGATCAATGTTAGACCACCATTGAAAACTTGAAAGCACTTGACAGCCGTTTTATCCTAATGTGGGACTTCTCAACAGTGCACATCCATACTAGGACGAAATGGTCATTCAGTGCTTCCAGTTTTTTAATAGTGGTCTAACATTGATCGCTTGATGAACACAATCATAACTCAACGATCTGATCATTATTATATGCTCACTGGTGACTAGCTTCGAGAGACTGTCCTCAGAGTCCTAGTCAGATGCTGTGACAATTGAAGTTCAACCGTGTCAGGTGTGGAACAGTTACCGAAGTTAATGAAGGATGGTCGCGCAATATCGTGGATGGGTTCAAGTCAAACATTAACACTATTGGATTGCGGTTCAGTGGTCTCAAGTTTAAGCGTTCGCGTGCGAGATCGAATGTCCTGTGTTTGAGTCCCTTTGGTGCGGTATCGTGGATGCGTATCTCCGAAAAGTTCTATATTAGAACGAAATGGCCGTCCAGGGGTTCCAGGTTACCAATGATGGTCTAATACTGATTATTTCATGATTTAAAGAGAAACAAACATTTAATTAACTATGCCTATTCAATTTATTAAATTAGTTAATTACTTTTATTAATTAATTAATTCCTAGTGTAGAATAATCATCAATATTAAGTTAATTCTAATCGAATTAATAATTATTTACTAATGAGTAAACGTTCAGCAATTTCATAAATAATATTTGTAATATATGTGGCCAAGTTGCTTAAGCATTCAACAGTACTAGCTATTTAGAAGTGTTTCGTGTTAATTGCTTAAAATCTTTTAAGTGAAAATAATGTAGTTCTTAATTCATAATGACATTGTGTCGTTCACCACTTATGTATATAGATAAAAGTAGCGTTTTGCAGGAATAGAAATTGAAATGCTTACCGTTAGAATATTGAAATAAAGAAAACGGCATGCAAAACACCTAGCAATCGGAATAATAGAAGAATTAGAAAAATGTTAGAGTATGTAAAGGATAACCGAAGGAAGATGTTCAACTTATATATTTAATATATGATTTCCATATTTTACAAAGGCGCTGTGCGATTTTGCATAAAACAATGAATTGATTTACAGTACCTGAGTTTTTATTCACCACAGCATTTATTTTAGAAAAAGATTATTGTGAAGTTTGTGAATATACTTAATAATTAGTTTTGAAGGTTTGTAAAGAGTTTTTCATTAAAAGTTTATATCACATATCAAATTTAGATAAGTAAATAGGACACATCAAGGAAGACAGAGTAACTGTTTCTTTCCAAAGCGGGACATAGAATTATGCACCGACTACTCGCTTTGAAATGAAGCCGAAATTTATAAAGTCATGTGGCAAGCTCACCCCTCTTGAATTATAAATGAATTGGAATTCAGTTGTCAACAAATTCAACTATGAATACATAACAACGGGTAACTTTTTGGAAAAGCTTATTTAAATGACAAAACTCGCTTCGGATTTAATGACAAAAAGTTTGATGTATCGTAACCGATGCATGTATGTGCCTTGTCCTACGTTGTAACTGACTGACTGAATAAATATTGATTCGGTAGTTGCTTTATCTAATGTCAAACTTTTTATTAATATTAGAAAACAAACAGGGTCTATTCTTGTTTAATTCTACCTTTTAGTTTGCAGTTATACTTTGTAGACTAGATCAATCTTGTTGAAAATGTCGTGTCACAATAAAATATGTAATTATCAGTTTAGGGGTTGTGGAGATTGTTAAGTTTTTGATTGAGATCATGAATCGATTGATGTTAGACCATTGATAATTATCATATGTTCACCAGTGGCTAGCTTCGTGAGAAAATTCTTGAAGTTCTGGTGAGAAGCTGTGACCAGTGGAGCTAATTCGTGTCGGGTAGAAACAGGTGTCTACCTCAGTACAATGGAAGATGGTCGCGCAACTTCATGGATTGGTTGAGGTTAGACATTAACACCATTGGATGCCGGCTCAGTGGTGCAGTAGGTTAAGCGTCCGCGCGCGAGAATGAAGGCCCCGGGTTCGAATCCCACAAGCGAGGTCGTGGATGCGCACTGCCGAAGAGTCCCACAATAGAACGAAACGGCCGTTCAGTGCTTCCAAGTTTTCAATGGTGGTCTAAAATTATTCGGTTCATGATCTCAATCGAAAAAATATGTAATGTTGACTGATTTAAATACGACATCAGTGTAGCATAGTATAAATATCATTTTATTGAACAACATCGCAATTTAAATATAATTTTTGATTGGTTCTTTTTTCAGTTAAACGCTTGCTTATTAAAAGTTAAAATATTTAGTGTGTTTTCTTCCTATAAAATTCGAATTATTTGTTTCGAAAAATAAGATTTTTCAGTTGATGGTAGGTGTACTCTTCGCATTGGTTGTATATCTTTTATATCTTTTAAAGGATATTATAGATTTTTTTCTCGGCTCATTATTAATGGCATGAACTGCGATTTGACCATGATTTTTTTAATGATATACGTGACATCAACAGGAACATTCATGCAACCAATGCAAATGAATTAAAATTCACCTCATCTCATAAGTCAATGGTTATGTGGAAAAGGCATTGGGCGTCTGAAGCGAAAAACAACCAGGATTCGAGTACCGGTGTGACAATTACGACTGAGCTGTAGGTATATCCAGATGATAGGTCCTAAATGTAACAAAACACGCTTTCTTGATTTCACTACCAGCAACCACTTAAATCTGCTTATAAAATGCACGTAACAATGACATTATTGAGGCGACCTGTATGAATGAACGAATACCGACTGCATCCCTAAACATCGAGGGGAAAATTCAAACAATCAATACAAACAAATTAGCATATAGATTAGTTTACTCTACTTTTTACTGAATATCTGCTATTTGGGTTTACCTTATAAATTTAGTTAATTATAATTTCGCCGATCATTATGGTTACACGCAACTAATGCTTGTTCCACCCATAAAACTATTTACGTTTCATTCAATTTTAACAGGCTAGGCACTAATCAGCAAGAACCTTCATGGTTTTTGTTCTTGGAGATGATTGAATCTACTTAGTCAATTTGGCTAATGTAGTGATTGACTTTTCTACGTGAATAAATTCATGTGAGCACAGATCCTAATCATTCAGCTTGAGACAAGTATTATCAATGCTGCTGAATTACGGTCATATAATATTGCTAGTAGACTGAATTTAGAAATGTGTACGTCATTAAATACCAACTCAATGATCTGAATGTTACGATTTAAATGACAGCTCCAAAGGTTGGTGGTTCAACAATAGTCATGGTAATGAACACACTGTGAGACCATCTAATACTAGAATGAAATAGCTGCTCGTTACTTCCAGATTATCAGTAAGTGCCTAATTAAATTCAATCCGTGATGTGGAACTACAAATTCAATAGTATTTATGGCTCCTGTATACTAATAAACTCATCAAGGTTATTAGATTTTAAACGAATTCTTACTCATTGCTATATGATGCAAAATATATTCGATTTCTGTTAAATTAACATTTATAATAGTTTATCAGCCACAAAGTAAACAATTTTTCGGTTAGCAGTTTTTCTATTGATCAAGCATTGGTTTTTATCAGCTATTATTCTAATTTGTCCAATAATAAATGGAAAATATATTTTCATTAAGATTCATCTATAATACAAATGACTATTAAGAATATAATGCATATAATACTTATTAAAATTAAATAATGGGATTGCACATAATAACAGAATAATTGTTTTCTACAGACATTTAATCACTGAGACTAATGGATTATGTGTGTAAATCTTGAGATAATTTATTAAACATCGGAGATTAGGTTTACTTTGATTGGCTATTCAAATGTTTTCATAACTAAGCTGAATGAATTGGACTATAGTCAGTTTTAGTCTATGCAATTAAAGCTGATGGGAAATCATTGTATTTCATCTTGGTAAATTTTTCATAAAAGTTATTAATGAAATAATGCTTAAACTGCCTAAAAATTTATTTACTGAATGAAAGTCGCCATATACAATCAGTTGTTCAATCGTTTCTGGTTAACATGAAATAAAAATGTTATTGTTTCCGGGATAAGAAACAATCTATGAAATAAACAATCTTGTAGGTATTTTACATTTTTATGAATGTAAACCTGAAGTGTATAAGTGAGTTCAGAAAGTACTAATCGTTTAAATATGAGAGAATGTTGGACATGAATTTATTATAAGTTACAATATCAAACATCATAAAAGTTGTAAAATTATAAACTTATTGACCTAGACCATTTAGGTGTATACATTCATGATATTATTTGAGTATGGTTAATTGCATTTCTGTTTGTGTTAATTTACTGTTCGGAAAAAATCATATTGAGATGTCAGGAAGGAATCGTACATATGACTTCATCAGTGTTATTCTTTAATTGATTCATTTTTTTATTGAAATATTAAGTGATCGGCTACAAATGATGTGTTTTTGATTAGTTAGTGACAGGTTTGTCTTATAAAAGTTTCGGTGAGACTATAATTTATGGACAACCTTGGGAATAACCGCCTACTAAGACCAAATGAGGCTTATCACGTGGTGTTAGGAATTAGAATTAAGATTCACAGTTGATGGTTAGGGTTAGGAACTAGATTTTGGGCTTTCATCACGAACCAACATCAGCTAAAATGACAGAAAGCTATCTAACCAAATGGATAAATGGATTTCGTGCCAAAATCTTAGAGCTGTTATCATAAGCCTAACTAGTTCGTCCATAAATTATAGTGTCTCCACAGTTTCCTTAAAGTTAATCATTGATCAGTTTAATTTGCAACTATATTGATTCACTTTAGCAAGTTGAAATATGAAAGAAACCTATGGTTCTTTTAAGGAAAACAACAAATAAATTAGTCAATCTTTCCCTTTTTACCTACATCCAATTGTTTACCTCTAATGTGTAGTTTCTGGAAAAAACTTTTTTGTTGACACTAATCGGTTAAAAACAATCTTTGAAGGATACGGTCGATATAAAATATCGTTGTAAAATAAGGAATTACTTTAATTTCTTTTTAAACGGTTCCATGGTCACGTCAGCTTGATTACTTTAGTTGAAAATATTAAATTTCAGTGTGTTTTTTACCATCAAATGTTTACGCATCAATTCTTTAAAAGTATATTATAGATAACTAATATTATCTCTCGTAGATGTATTATTTTAATGACAAAATATTAGAAACTAACGCTTTACATTGTTTTCATAATTAATAGTTTTCTAGTGTTTACTAAATTGTGAAAAAGATCCATGACATAAAAAAAAGTAAAATAATTGATTGTTAAGCAAATGTTTTAGTCACAGATTAACTATTAATGAACTCTTGAAGTTAGAAGCATTTAAACATACTATAAAACGTTTAAACATTTCTATGGCTATGAACAATATAATGTTCACTTTTCAACTATTTAGTACGAATTTTGAATCTTTGCAACTTTTTCAACTTTCTACATGTAATAACATGAAAATATGTCATATTTAATTTCATTTTAGCATAAGCTGGACGTTACATTATATATTTTAATTCTAGTCAAACATTATTTCTTATCATTTAAGGCCATATATATAAACTAACAGTATGGTACGTGCTACTTACATTGACATAAGTAGTATATAACGTGAGTCAGGAATGTAATGTCTGGCAGCAGAAGATTGAGAAGATCAAAAAAGGAAGAACAAGAATAGAGAGCAATTAGTATAGAAATGCAAGAACAATGAAGTTCGAGACAATTATTTAACATTTCGCAAATTAGATATTATAGTATGGTTTTTCTATTTTTACCAAGTAATTCTGTAATGTTGTGCTAAATATAATTAGATTGTCCTCACCTGTGTTCACCCTCACTACATTTGATGTCGCTGCCTCCACTAAGGATGAAGATTCCATGGCCAAAGGAATTTGAGGACAGAGATGTGGTGGGCTTCCTGAAGGAGTTTGAGGCCGTGGCGGGGCTGGTGGAATTGAAGGAGCCGGAGGCGAAGATGGTGGTGCTGGGGACGCTGCTGAGAGGCAGGGCGAAGGCTGTATATGACAGCTTGGACGGTGCTGGCGGAAAGACGACATGGGAGACAGTCACGGAGCGGTTGATGGTGGAGTTCGACAGCCTAGTGTACAGGGAGGAGGCACTGCCGAAGTGTATAGAACAAATGCTACAATTATGTAAGATAATAAAATACAAAAGTATCTTAGAAATCGAAGAAGAAATGAATATAACACTATTATCTTAATCCTATTCATTATAAACATGGCCATTAAGAGTAGAAGATACTCGTAAGCTATTAGTATTTGACCGCAGATACCTTAAAAATATTGCTGGCGTCTGCTGGGATCACCGGGTAAGTAATAGTAAAGTTAGACGCAGGGTATTAGGGAATGATGGTAAATCAGTTGATGAGGTTGTGAATCTTCATCGACTGAGATGGTTGGGCCACGTGTTACATATGCCCGAACACCGATTACCACGACGTGCAATGCTAACCGGTGTTGGAGATGGTTGAAAGAAAGTTAGGGGCGGCCAAACCAAAACGTGGCATCAGTGCTTGAAGTCACTAACTTCTAGTCTGAGCCATGCTGGTAGATACAGACTACTTGGTTGGGGTCCGCGTGACTATCGTAATCAATGATTGGAGACTTGGTGACACGGCTCAGAATCGGTCACAATGGCGTCGGTGTATATACTCCCTGCCTTCCCTTAAACTAAGAGATTAAAATCTCTTCATATCTTTCTTTCTACGAATTAATTCTTTCTTTCTGTACTATATCTGTATATGCAATCTTTCTTTTATATATTACCACCACTGAATTAACTACTTTTATGAATCCGGTGTCCATCTTGTTGTGTTAATGTGGTATGGCAACTTGGACCGATGCATATATATGCCTGGTTCTACGTTGTAGCTGACTGACTGACTGATTCATTATAAGCTTTTCTAACAGAAATACGTATTATTCCATATTTAAATTATCAAAATTTCATAGAATATACTAATTCAGTATAATAAATTGTGTATTAAATAATTATTTATGAATGCCTTTTTCTTATTTGTTCAGTCAACCATTTGTTGTTTGTTTTTCATTGAATAAAAAGAAAATATTTACTGTTTTTTTTCTAAAAATTTCATTTCATAAACAAACTAATTCATTTATTATTTAGTTACCTATTCTTGCTTTAAAATTCATCAATTTAATAAGATTTACGTTGCCATTTATTTAAAATCAACTTGTTTTTTTGAGCATGGATATACAATAAAATAAAATAGAAAAAAAAGTGGAGAAATGAAAACAATGATAAATGAAGTAAGAAATTCTTTGCCTGATTTTCTAAATCTATTTAAATTAAAGTATGAGAAAAAAACAGGATGAGAAAAAAAATTTTCAAACACAAGAACGGCAGAAATTGTCTATGCCTATCCTGTTTATGATTGTGTCTTGAAGTGTTGATCATCTAATCAAGAAGGATAGAGAATATGTCTTTTTTAGAAAACGTAAAATCATCATATAAATGAAATACTTAGGGATAGTACAATTTATTGAGGCTAGTGAGGAGTATTCCATTTATGTTATTTATTTATGTAGTTGCCATGGTAATTATTTCAAGGAAAGTGTTGCCTAAATTAAACATATGAGAACGTCATGCAACAATCGGAATTCCACTCATCTCATACGGATTCTAGTGAACATAATATTTTTCTTCAGTTTCAAAACTATTATTCATAGTTGTCAGTTATATTTTACAAAACAGCCAATTCTATGTCTTTTGATGTTGAGGATTCAGCTGAACATAGGCTGGGATCTAATTTCAAGAACGTAGGTGTTAGATAAGTAAAAATCATACCAGTTACCAAAGCCATTGTTGTTACTTGTTGTGATATGAATGTTTAGTTTTAATATCCAGAAGGATAAAATTCATGCAGTTTTTTTCCTTATTATCTTTGTTTTCTCTTATGTACTAATTTATCAAGGGGGACCTATTTTTCTAATTATATAACAGTATGTCTAGTTTTTTTAATAATAATATGTCACATCAGTTAAATAAATTGTGTATTTTCACCGTATTATCTAGATTTATAAAAAGTATAATCTATTTTAACGTTCTTAGACTAAATATTTTATGATAGACATATCTTTATTATTTGTGGAACATTCACTTCAATTGTTTAAAATTTTATTTCACATCATTATTAGGAAGAATTTGAGTTTTTCGGTTTTTTAAATTAAGCAATTCGTACATCCTGGGCAGATTTACTTGATATGAATGTTAACACTGAGGACCAGTCCTAACTCAGATCAAACGATAAACCTGATACCCACCGTTAGCCACAGTCGATCCATTGTAAATAAAATCGCACTTAGTTTTCATTTTGATTTTTTCATAGGATTCCCGAACAGTTTTATTTTCGTTTAGATAATTACAAAGTGACCAAGTACAATAAATTAATTGTTTCGTTACAATTATAGCGTTCAAAGTTTTGATTAATTTAAAATGATAATGTCGATTAAATTAAACAAGATTTCAAATACGTATTTTTACTCATTCTACAGAGTTGTTTAAAACAAATGTGACTATTCTAAATTTTATTTTTCATCATTCATAATTAAACTTAGTAATAAATATATATCCGAATGAGTAGAGATATTGTGTTCCCCACTTTTCGTGACTTAACATAAGCTTCTTCCTCAGAGTAAGTAAATAATTGAATTGAATCAACACAAGTTTAAATGGTACAAATGAAACAATGCATAATGTATTTGGTACAATCGAAATTCAGTTGTTTATCTACTCTGAAGAAGTAGCTTACATAAAGTCGCGAAACGTCACAAATGCATTTTCTCCACCTATTGGGATATAACAAAAAATAAATTTATTGTTAACTTTCTACCCAATGTCAATTTATTTGAAACCATCAAGTCCAGCCTTGGTATTGATACCCATAGTTAAAATTTAAATAAATGTTGTTAATCATGAAATGTAGTATCATTAACTGATTTTTACAACCTTATTTATTCAATCATTCCAAATGTTTCATACAAATAATTCTGTCTGTTCATTACAACAAGTACAATAAACACATTGGGATGACAGAAATTCATTTCATGTGTTGTGTTTTAAATCTTCCATATACCCTTTTACTTTGTAACACTTTAAACAAAAACGTTTTATAAATATAATTGACTGTACACTATGTATAAATTCATTTAGTTTACTAATGGAAGACCATTATAATTTCTTTTTATAATTAATTCATGTATATGAATTAAGCGTGTTTAAAATATATAAAGCATTTATTGTTAGAATTCACTGCTGAACTAAATTAATTCATCCATGTGACACACAAAAAATGACATTTAGGAAATATTTTATTTATTTATTGATAACAATCAATCTAGATCTGAAAGATTTAGACATGATATAATGAATGTAATTGTCCATTTTTTACACCATTCATCGTGTTATTATCTTGTTATTCAAAATTTTTCAATTGTCTCCGTATATATTTAACATTCACTTGCCTCATATTTTAATATTCAATTCAGTATACATGGTTATTAATGATTGCTTTATTGTTTCCTCCTTGAATTGAATAATGTCTCAATAATCCTTATATTTCTTTCTTTCTTTCCAAAATATCCTGCAGTTACGATGAATTTATTCAAAAATATCTTATCATACGATTTCAAAATCAGGTGCCTTTAAACCTATTACAAGAAATTTATCAATCTATTAAGATTCATAATCAATCTGGTGAATCTTCATTAAAATGTTTTCATAGTACAATGTTTACTGAACATCAACCAGATAATGTTATTCAAGAGTAAGTATCAAATATAGTAAGAATGTTGTGTTTACTTTTAAAATGTACACTTTTTTTATTCATTCATTGTTTTTTATTCAAAGGATAAAAAATAATTCTGCTAGGTTTGAAGCGATTACGAGTTCACCTAGGGATCTAACGTCCTCAACAGATCCTAATTGGCTAACAGGGATTTTCGATTACAGAGCTTTAGTATTGTATAAAGTTTAAATTTTGCTTTATTTAATAGTATATGAACAAATGTTGTAGATTGTTCTTGTGTTATAAATGACAGTATTTATTATTATAAGCTTACAAACTGCATAGTATTCCTAATAACATCTTTAAGGTTTCTACGTACATATAGATACATTTAATTAAAAAATGCTGATAACATAGTGTATATTCAGGATTTATTTCAAGAGTAGTTATTAAGGACCTATATTTTGTATAGGGACTATTAATGCTATCTAGTTCACACATTTTGTTCTATTTGGAATGCATTTGCATTTAAGTTATATCTCCACTAAACCTTGAAACATATTACGTATCAACTTTTCCATTAGAATATTATTCGCTATACTATTGGCTCACGATAGCTCTCAAAAATTATATATATATATATAAGTTTTACTAAATATAGGACTATTTTTTCTCACGGTTATCATTGAGAACTAAACTGTATATCTACTGAGTTGGAGTCTATTTTATATTTAGCTTCTTATAATCGTACTCATAATCCGGTTACTTGATAAATACTAGTTCGCTTTATGCCATTCTGACTAATAACTTTTCTCTTTATCAGTAACATATTAATGTTAACAATGGCCTAAATCCAATTGTTTGATCAGCTTATTCTAACCAAAATAGCTATTCAAAATATGAGCATAGTAAACAAATAAACATTCTGTTACTCTCTATTCTTTACTATCAGGTTTACTCAGAAAATCAGAACTACATACGATGATTACAAATCCGCATAACAGAACAAAATAGAAAGCATGATTTGTAGATAACTAAGTTATAAGTGATAAAAAACAGAATCATCAGGTTAATAATTAATTGTCGATAATTCTGAAACGGTAAAGTAGATAATAGTAATGTTTGAATCAAATAAAGGCGTATAATTAGAAGAATATCAGAAAACCATAATTCAAGTATTTATTGGTTACACAATAAAAATGTAACAATTCTCCTTAGAACATTTCTGAAATTTTCACCTTTTCTGAATATCTGCTTCGATCTAATAGAGTCTCAGTCTGAAAGTCAACAAAAATACAAATACAGCTGGATGATAAATCCCAAGTATGACGACAAATACAATCTGTATTCCATTTAAAATAGAATTCTTTCATACATCCAAGCAATACAAAGTTAATACAACAAGGAATTAGAAATCTTCACTGATGATATTAACAATAATACACTGTAAATTTTCTATAAATTTATCAAATACTAGTGTAAACCTTAAAGCAAACTGAATTCACATCCACTATTCATTGTTTTCTTTTATCTTAAATAGACATTTAAATGGAATTATCATAGGATTTATGAGTAAATTAGTCTGCTTGTTTTTTTTCTCTAAAGAAATCTAAATATAAGTGTCAATATTTAAAAAAAACACAACTGTTTTAGAATGAAATTAGATTGTTGCGAGAATGAACGTCTTGTCAGGAATTTTTGTTTAAAAATAAAAAGAAAACAATGTTTAATTTACTGGGAAAATATTTCTTTCTCTCCCTCTCTCTCACTATTAAAACGATAATAATAATCATATTAGTAACAGTAATAATAAGTAAATCCGTAGCCTAAAAATAAATGCAATAATTTAAAAATAAATTAGAAAGATAGGAAAAAGAAATGATATTGAGAGAATAGATAGAATACTGATAAAACTGTCAATTAGAATGCAATTGTTTTTTCCTTTCATCTCCATTGTGATAGATAGAAATTTTAACAAACTATAAAGGCTTAATTTTATTTTACTGTTATATCATCATTTCGTTGAAATACTATGTTCTATATTTATAACATCAATATATATATAGTCTAATCTTATTCATGAACTGTTTCGTTACATTCTGTTTTCAAAACAACTTACAATGCAAAAAAAAAGAATTCTATTTGTTTTAACATGAATTATCCAATTATAAAACGAACGGATAATTGAGTGAGAGAGTGAACTAATTCTACTGAATCCTTTCCATTATTTAAAATAAAAGTTATTTATTTAGTAGCAGTTATCATGCATTTATTGGTTTCATAGTTAATTGTATACCTAATTGACATTAGTTAGTAAAACAGATGTAGATTAAAACATGTTGAAATGTTGTATTTGCCTTAAATTAGGACTACTCGGTAAATACTTTACCTTAAGTTTACAGAAACTGGTATCTATAATAATCTAGTTTTTTTACAATCAGTAAGATACTTTTTAAATAATGAATTGGGTTTCAGTGGATTATATTACCAACATTGGTCAATTATGGCTAAAGAAATGATGAACATCCGGTCATCATTGCTATTACATTATTGTGGTTGAATTTGCATCGATAATTAAATGGGAATTAACTGAAACATTTTCATTCTACTGACTCATTTAGTTTATATAGTGAGTTTCAGTCATTTATTTTGGCACGTTAAGTGAATAGTTTTGTGAAAATTGATGGACATACTCCAAAATTGATTGTAAATATCCTTATTCAATACACTTTTGTCATTACGCTTTTAGAAATAGTATTTGAAACGAAGCAATTAGTCCCATTTATAAACTTTTATAAAACAATGAGGAAAGGGTTTTGATCTGAAAAATATGGTGTATCTGTGCTCTAGATTTCGAGCAATCTTGCAATCAAGGATAATGGATAATGGCTTCATAAAAATTTATTTTCTAAGTCTCCGGAAGTAGAAAACCATGTTCATTGATTCCGAATTAAATAATTGAAGCGTTTATAAGATTGACGTTGATGCAGCTTTTAAAGCGTTAGATAGGAAGTTTCAAGGACAAATCCTAAGGCTTGTAGATGCCGTGGCTACTCACAAATCCTTCTCGAATCTGTCGTAATAATGTTTAAGTCCTTTCACGGCCTATGTTAGTGTGAAAATTACCAATTGTTCCCATATCGTATTAATTTTTTTCTCTCACTGACAGTTATCGCTATGTTTACTTTGACTTTCATTTGACTGACCTTCATTAGCTTTCGTACAAAACACATTGACAAGTATGTATGACCACATATTTTAGACTGAAACCGTCTTCCTACTGTCTTGTCAAAATAGTAAATTATTTGAAAGCTTTATTCTCAAACTACTTATTCTATGAGAAAATAATTATTTTTCTTTTATCGACATATGATATTATCAGTCATATTCATTTCAAGTCCAGCGTGTTTAAAAACAAAGTTTCCTTAGTTTAGCATTTTTTAAACACTTGATAGAACTTACATCATAATGAGGAGTCTACTTCATGTTAAAAATGGTAGACTACACATATTGCAGACGGTACTTACGCTTGTTACCCCTCGTAGAGGAGCATAGGCCGACCACCAGCATTCTCCATCCAACTCTGTCCCGGACAATCCTTCCCAGTTGTTTCTAGTCTCCATTCATCCTTTTCATGTCTGCTTTCACTTCACAATGCAGTGTGTTCTTCGGTCTTTTCCGTTTCCCTTCAAGATTCCAGGTTAGAGCTTGCCGAAAGTAGTAACGTCATAAACTACATTTCCCTAGTTTGTAATTAAAATTTCATGAAGTTAGTCAATTATCTTGTTATAGAATTTCTTGTGTTGATTGCTCTGTGATTAACTACCATTTTGACAGAAATATTTAAAGCACAATAATAAAACAAATTTAATTACGTGTTAATTATCATTACTATGTGAAGAGTGGGATACAATTGTTAGAAATAGTTCCTTGTAAAATATCTAGTAATCTCAAGTGTTCCAGATACGACCAATTGAACTTAACCAAATGCTCATAAAAAGTATCTGAATTTTTTTAAGAATAGTGAGGTTGTAATTGTTGTACACTTTAATATTTACGACAAATCGCTCTAATCAAGAATAATAATTAACAACGAATGATTATTAGACATCTATTTCTGCTTAATATGAAACTACTGACGTTTAGCTGTGAACGAGATGATCTCGAATCCAGTCACAATAATGACAATAGTTATCACTTCCCAGTTGGCCACACCAAAGAAACTTATTTATTCTTTGGGTACCTCCAAAGAAAAGGGTTAAGGATGGTCTTGGTAATCTGAGAGCATGACCGCAATGCCCGATTGACAACTGTTTGAGGCCAGTCATAAACGGGCTTCTTATTAGTAATTTTATATGTAATAGCTTAACACTTTAAGGGTACTACCACTGACACCTGGTATCTATCTGACGGGATCACGCGTGATAATTTTGGAGCCAACACTTTCCAAATCCTTCTTTTGTTAGTGACCGTGTAGCGGTTCGCATCTTGTCAGAGGGTACTCCGTGTAATAGATAAGCATGCTATGAAGCGTGGGTTAAGAGAGCTGATAAAGAGAAAAAAACTAAGAAAATATGAGCCAACAACGCAGCAAGCGCACAAAATGCATTCACGTTAAATAACGAAAGCAATTAACAACAATAAGTAATAACACAAACGTCAGACCAAGATAACGTGAAGTTTCTCACCCGCTACATAGCTACCCCTTATTCAAAGAGCACTGTCCCAGTGCTAAATAATTTCACACACTTTGCATCCTGGCAAGCTCACCACTTTAGCGTGACCCGTGATCTGGCTTCAATTTGAACGTATAAATGAACATGTCATGGGTAGAAATTTTCGGGTTGACTCCGCTTATTATATTTAGGCTGACTCCGTTTGAGCGACGGTGGTAGTTAGGAGAACAATAAGAATTAAGTTAGGTGAATTTATTTCACGCAATCGTCTACTCAGACAGGCGTTAAGATGAGAAGCAAAACGAAACGGAGAAAGTAAGCATACCAACTTGATTTGATAAAGCCTCACACACTGGTTATAATCAGACAAAAAAATAAGTTGAAGATGTGTGATGAATACACTAAGTGATATACACACACGCTTATATAAAGGTGACCAGGTGATAATACATGAGGATACTGACTTAGAAATAATAAATTAATTATTCTATTCGAAAGTCAGACTAATTCATTTAGGTGTGACATAGGACTAGACGGTATAAGAGTACAGCAGTGTTTGATCCGTCGAGGTCGTACCAATCAGTTCATATTCCTAATTCCAGCCAATGTGTTAATGAATGAACTCCATCTGCCTGTTCCGTTTGAAACATGACTGAACTCTCATCTAGCTTTTATTGGATGTCCAGCTGAATTCATTTGATGACATAAAGTGACTTCTAATAGTCTCTTTTGAAATCATAATCAAAGTTTTAAGATTTCTACTTTGTTAAAAGAATCGAGTGGACTAGGATTACTATTATCATTGAGATGCATAAAATCTTGTTAAATTGTATAGTTGAAAATCAAAGAAAAAATTTAGTTTTATTTATATGTCTCTTAGCAATCGATCTACATTTAAAGTGTTGTTAATGTTATATTTTGAACAAAATCCTCATTTAAACAAATGAAAACAGCTGAGGGTTTTACTCCAAACCAAGTTTCAACCTGGTTGAACACTAACTACATAGATATAAATTGATAAATTACACCTAATGAATTCAGTGACGCTCTGCTTGGCATAAACGACCAGATGTACTTGGTAGCAACATCCCATAACCTCGTGAAGTTAACTGCCAAAAGAATACTGATCTGTAATACTACAATGTTCAATGATTGTCAGTAATTCAACGGTTTGCACATAAATGTCTATGTATTTAATTACTTAACTTTCTTATTTTTTTATTTACTTAGACAAGAAACTGGAAAGTTCTCATCGTTATCATCATTACTAACGGATACAAAGCAGTTGAAGAGTAAATTGAATTCTGGATCTGCAGGAGTTGACTTTATTCAATCCACAATGGTATTTATGTCAACTGCCATGAAAAATACTGTGAATAAACATTTACCTAAAGAACCGAAAGATAAAATTGCATCTTTTGCAGCTGATGTTTGTTCTAATCTACGTTTACCATTCCGTAGTCAAACAACAAATAATCTCAATAACTGTAGTAAAACCACATCTACTACTACTACTACTACTACTACTACTACTACTACTACTACTACTACTACTATAACCGTAGCAAAATCATCAACTATGAGAGATAAAAAAGAATCTCTCGACGAATACTCCATGGAACATCAATAATACCTCTTAGCATATGGAGTCCTATCACCATTTTGGTTGTGTTATTTTTCTTGTCAATAATGTTTTTTTTCCAGTTTACATATTTAATAAAAGAATTATTTCAACTAACTAAAATGTTAATAAAGATTCATTATAAAATTCACAAAACATCTATTTAGAGTATCTCATTTCATTTATACTCTTATAAGGGTTTGTAAAAAATTCTTATTTTTTCTAACATTTCTCTTTATTTAATTCTTCTATCATACTGTGAATAGATAATAAACAATACATATATCAATAGAATACTAAAAGAATACTAGTATAAATAAAGTTGATGATAACTTTTTCTTTCTCTCTGCAAACTTCTTCATTACTTCATTATATTGAATCTTAGCGATGACATTTGTCTTGTTTTCTAATCTTTCATAATTTGCTTTCTCTTTCTTTTTCTTTTTTTACTGTTCTACCTAAGAACTTTAAAATATGTCTTATACAAAGTTGGAAAAACAACATAAAATGATAATATCACAGTTTATTCATTAGTTATATTGTAAAGGAGAAAGTAACTCAATATTAATTGACACATTCTCATTTGTATAGTTAATGACAAATAAATAATATCATGAATTAGCATTACATTTTGAATGTCATTGTGAATTGGCAATTAAAACTATAATCATTTACTATTAATACATTTGTGATGCAATTAAGATTATAATTTATTTTATTTTAATAATTTGTAGTTGATTAATTTCTTGAAATCTCATATAAATAAAACATTATAATGATGATTTGGTTCAATGTTATTTTCTTTTCTTCAAAATACTTGGAATAAGCCAAATATTTGAATTATCTAGAAATACATGGCTATCATATTGTTTGACGTTAGTTCTAATTAGATTGTATTTATCAAGTTGAATCACTCATTGTTTCACTCACAATACAGATCTGTTATTATGAGGATTGTTAAAAAAGTATGTAGATCTTATCGAAACTCTTTACTTTCGAAATTTCGATGTAGCTTGTGTAAACAGTCAAAGATCATCTGAATTGATAGTTTTCCAGTTGATTAAATTTTCATTTAACTTTATAATAAATATTCTCCTAGAGATGAACTCTTCTTCTTCTGAACGTTTAGATGTTGCTCATTGAACATTCATTTATTGACGTATACTGCTCAATCGACACAATATTTTCCAATTAGGACACTGACAAAAATACAGTATCTTCTAAATCCCTTAAGTAACAATGTATTAATATTTAACATATGATTTTTGAAGTTTTATCACATGGCTGGTCTAGATCACTGCTTAGTTTGATCTTAACGATAGAACATATTGAAGACTCTGATCTCTTCACTTATCTTGGATGTCTACCAAAATTTACTAGTTATAACTTCTCACTCATGATCAGATGATTGGTGACAAGTTTGGGTTTTTGTTGCATGTCTGCGCAACCTAATGCAAGTAAAGTGGAATTTGAATTCCTCATCTCATTTTTTCAAATAATATGCTCCTATAGATATGGTATTGTCATAGATATTTGTATTTATAGATTATGTATAAAGTCATGTTTGGAGTTAAAAGATGTATATTTTGATATCATGTTGACAGTAACATTCTTTAAATATATATATTCTGCATTACGTTCTACCAAATAAATCGATTTACGTGTATCTATCAAACGAGATGGATAAAAGTCCTACGACAGAGGTTATAAATTAGAATATTTATCAATTTTATTTGTTCATCCGATAAACCCAATACATCAGGTACATGCTTTGGAATACTTGAATAAATTCAACAAATAAGAACCAATTATTAACCTTAAACCTATATTTATAAACTCCCCAATTGTTCATTAGGATCAAATTTTTACTTTACAGTAAACGTTATTTCTCTAGTGAGCAGCCTATGTTCCTTCACGAGGATTAACAGGCGTAAGTAAACTTTATTTTTAATGTAATAAAATAACTGCCTACTATTTCACATAAGTTTTCTCACAGTTTTCATCAGTTAGCATATACTCTAAGTGTACAATATATGTATCATGTGATATTCTCATCTCTTACGTCATACATATCGTTTTTCATGTGATCACTTGACAAAGTAACTTGTATGAATGAAAGAAGAGATCATTTCTTATCAAGTTAATTTTTAATTCCTTAAAATTTTGTTTATACCATACCATTATTCAATTATTTATTTTGCTTTACGACTTAATTTCCATGATCGAATTGGATTATGTTTAAAATATTCTTGTTACCTTGACAACTGAACACTATGTGTTGCGAAAAGATAATAAACAAGAGCATTGCCGAATTAAGTGAATTCGTTCTTCTTTACGTGTATTTTTTTGTCGGTATTATTTATTTTTTTAGGGTATTTAGGAAGAAATATACATACATAAATACACACATACATAAAGGAGTTTTATTATTATTCATTGCTTTATATGTATATTAATAAATCAACTGATTTCGGTGAATTTTGTCAAAAGTTAAACTGGCCGTCAAGTGTAAATTTTCAACTTAAAACAAAAATAACTGATATCAAAAAGAACGCTTAAATTCAATCGTCATTTCTTTCATAGTCTATATTCTATTACTTTAATCATGTTTTCATTGAAGTGAACTAACATTTCAGTAATTTACTTGAATAAGGTTCTACTTAAATATATAAATGAATAAATTGCTTTAGTCGCTTTATAATTACATTGCTGAGAAGTTAAACGACACATGATTTGGATGATGAAACACATTTAAGCAATTTATACAATAAAAATGTTATTCATAAAGTGTATAAAGAATGTACAAGCCGACTTCTTTGAAAAATTGCTTGCAACGTTCATAAAAAGAATGCTAATACTGATGAATGCGGCAAGATATCGTTTGCTCTACATACAAAACACTAGGAAAGAAGATGAATTCTAACAAAAACATTCAAATTTAATTAATATTCTTATGTGCAGTAGATATTAGATTTGAGGACAATTTTCAACGTCTCAATGAATAATCATATTCAATGTAGTTCAACTTTATAATGCAAACTGACTAGATTTGAAAATGTAAACTACTTTTTTAGGGAAAAAATGTTTGTGGCGAGAGCTTTGATAAGATTTACATACTTCTTTGACAATCCTTACGACAACAGACCTACATTATAAGTGAAACAGTCAGTGATTCAATTTAACTTGTGAAATTCAAACAACAGCTGAAGGAAAACTCTAAGATTCAGTGAATTGATCTTGTCTTGGAAATCTTTTTCTTTTGCTATATTTAAACTTATCAAGTGACAAGATGTATGAGACCACATTATATGGTTATCATTATTATCTTTCTATCATCTATTGTATATTCTAAGCAATCTACGAAATGCTGTGAAGTGAAAAGTTACCTAAAATATGAGGATAATAATCAATTCAACCAACAACAAAAAAAATACTCGGAATTATAGTCACAAATTTAAATAGCCTGGAACTACATATTCAATTCTCGAGTGAAGGAAAAGAATAACTAAATACAAACTGAATTTCCTATCCTGCATCATAATAATTCATCTTGGACATAGTTTACTTAATTCGTTTATTTTGTTTTATTTGCTCATTTAACTTGATAATCATAAATTTATTGACAAACACAACAAAACACACTACACATCTTACTTCCTTAACCATACTTACTCATACGAAATAATCTATTTTGAATACTCTCTATCCAAATGACCAAAATTGATAAACAATTTCCTTTAGTTTGTGTTTTGATGTGGAATTTTTAATTCCTAACTGTTTTGTTTTAATTTTGAGTAAATTTCCTTGAAAATTTAATTTTATACTATTAAAAAAGGTTTTTATTTGCAACTCAATTAACTTTAATAGGTTTTACGAATAATCTGATTTGAATAATCTTTACTAATTTATTCATCTGTCTATTTAGTAATCTAAGATTTTGTTGGAATATTTTGTTAACATCATATTATGTTATATCTAGAGATTAGATTTTGGCTATAAAGCGTACAACTTGAAAAATGAACACTTGAACCCTCCAAGTCACAAATTAGAAGACAAAATAAAAATGAGAAAGAATTTTATTCCAAATAACTGATTGGATGGGATATGTTTGGATCTTTCAGAGCTTCCTTGAGTTCACCCAAGAGCAGTCCTTATAATACCTATCAACGAGAATTTATTAACAGAGATTTATAAAACTTAATATTATTTTTGCATATTTGTCGCTTTATTTGACTACTCCATTAAAAATTGCAGCTTGATCAATAATTCTGACATAAATGATAAGGCAGAAGAGTATTTTGTCATCCATTTTTTTTGTCTAGTTTAGATGGACTCGTGAATTAAACTTTAAAAATACTACAACCTCCACAAATTCCCATTCTGATAATAATCGTGTGCTCACCAGAGTAGAGTGAATAGAGTCCAGTTCATGTCGGGTAGACAGTTATCCACCTTAGACAACTTATGAGGGGTTACACAAGATCATGGATCGATTAAATTTAGACATTGACAATGTTGGATGCCGGATCAGTGGTCTAGAGGTTTGGTGTTCGCGCTTGAGATCGAGAGTCCTGGATTCGATTCTTGCATGTAGGGTTGTGGATGTGCACTGCTGAAGAGTCCCGAACTTGGACGAAATGGTCATTCACTGCCTCCGGATTTTCAGTGTTGATCTAGCCCATATCGACTAATGAATTCAACTTCGAAATTACTACAATCTCCACAAATCTCCATACTGTCAAATACAAACTTATATTCTCATTGATGAAGTCCCAGTTCGATTTTTGACGAAAACGTTTTTTATTTCCTAGTTTAAGTTTATATTTATGTGTATTTTTTAAATTCCAGAACACATGGTTACGAAATAAAGTGACATATAATTCCTAGCATTAATCAATAATCTTTATTGTAACTAAATAATCGAAATTTTATTATTACACATAAGAATGATATTTCGTTATGCTGATTTTTCAAAACGTTATAACAACCGACCATTTTATATTCTCTAAATATGTATCTGAAAGTTGATTTTTTTATCACCCGTTGACATCATATAATGAATCATTGAAAAATTATAGACAATAAATGAATGTCCCTTTTTGAGTTTGAGACAATTCAGTGGTCGGTAGCCAACTTGTGAACAGATGAAATCTACATTTTAATATTTCAGGGACTAATATTGTTTATAGTCTGAATAGACTAGCTCACATGATTTACTTAAGGTACTTTGGAGTCTTACTTAGTTACTTATGCCTGTTACCTTTCATTGAAGAGCATAGACCGACCACCAGCGATCTCTACCCAACTCTGTCGTGGACAACCCTTTCTACTTGTTTCCAGTTGCTATTCATCCTTTTCATATCTGCTTCCAACTCCCAACGTAGTGTGTTCTTTGGTCTTCTTTTATGTTTCCCTTCAGGATTCCAAGTTAGCGCTTGCCTTGTGATGCAGATTGATGATTACCGCACTACATGTCCTACCCACCACCGACGTCTTTCCCTAATTTCCTCCTCATCTGGAAGCTGGTCTGTTCTCTCCCACAGTAGGCTATTGCTGATGGTTTCTAGTCAACGGACATTGAGTATCTTACGTAGACAACTGTTTATAAATACCTGTATTTCAGCTCCGTATAGTTTAACCGTCTTGACGTTCGTGTTGAAGACTCTGATATTAATGTTGGCTGATAGTTGTTTTGAGTTCCGTATACTCTTCAACTGTAAGAATGCTGTCCTTGTTTTGCCAATCCTTACCTTTACATCTACATCAGATCCTCCCTGTTT